CACGTTCGTCTACCCAAGTGGGAAGATACGCTGGTGAAGGCCAGGCAGCATTGGGCGATTTGAGGTCGAGGTGGAGGATCTTGACATGGTGCAAGTACGCCACGCCCCTAGCGATACCCAGCGCCAGCACATGGCACTGTCCTGGGGTGAGAGTGGGTTCCTGCGACTCGTGGAGTAATTGCGAGAGGACTCCGCGATCCATCCACTCTGTAACAAGCAACAGTGTTCGGTGCCCACCACGCAGATCCACGCACCCCCTCCAGAATCGCACAATGTTCGGATGCGACAGCCTAGATAGGAGGGAAATTTCCAGCACAAAATCGCAGACGTCAGCATCCGTAGGACTGGCATCGCGAACCTCTTTCACCGCCGCCTGCTGGCCGGCCCAAGTGCCCTGGAAAACTTCACCGAAACCACCGCGGCCCGCCCGATCCCGGCGGTCAAACTCCACCTCCCAAGGCTCGACGTGCCAGGAGGGTCGCAGCATGCGGCCACCGAGGTTCTGCTGGAGAGAAGGTGCCGCGCTCTCCGTCTTTCTCGCTTTCTTGGAAGGAGCTGCAGCCTCCTCGCACTCTTGCCGCAGCCGCCGCAAGTACTCGCAGGCCTTACCAGAACCATCTTCGTAGAGAGCACCAGGCTCGAACATGATGTCCACCACGTAGCTGTCCCCATCGACTTGGACAGAGTTCCATGTCACCCCTGCGGCACCCTTAACGGCAGCTTCCTCACGATGCAGGGAGCAAGGTGCCACAGAGAGCCAGTCGGCCACGGCCTTGAAGAGCACCGACCGCATCCGGGAGGTGCCAGCCCCTGGCTGCTTTGTCTTGCTCCCTTCGCGTGTCTCGTGCAGGAGATGGCCGAGCAACACGGTGCCCGTGGCCGGGTCACCCCGGTCGGATACCAGCCGCTCGCAGCGCTGCAGCACTGTCGAGGCGTGGTAGCCTGAGCGCCCCAGGATCTCGGAGACCTGGAATGCTGCCACCATGACACGCGTGGCCGCATCGCTCGTCCGTGCCAGCTTCTTGTGGACCTTCCTGACCAAGCATCAGAAAGCGGACAGGATCACAATTGCCAAACCTCGACACCTGACAGAACCCGAGATCGCTACGAAATCCCATCTCTCTCCAAGATCATAACCCGGTGCCCAAACCAAGCAGCTCCAGGAACTCCACCTCAGCAGCCGGAGCATGGCGAATGCTACGAAATCTTGCTAACGACTTCGGTGCGTATAAAACCCCTCATCTGCAAAGGGACGCGGGGGCTCCAGATTGCATGACGACCGACATGATGCAACAAGTCAGTGGCTTAACATCAGGGGTGAGGAGACTTTGACTTTGCGGGCGCAGGGATGCGGGTGAGCAGGGTGCTTCCTGCGCAGCAAGATGCCAAGTCGGCGTCTTCCCGGCGATCGATGACCACAATGGCCGTCGAGGCAGACAGACCTCGGGTTGCCTGCCAGGACGGTGCAGGAAATAGGGATTTCAGCAATACAGCTGCCTCATGAGAACAAGAAGCAAGGCATCCAAAAGCCTTCAGCCCTGGCCCCGAACTGTGAAACGACGACAAGCAGCCCGCCCGCTCGATCCCCACCCCCTTAAGGGGGGGGGGTAACCCCCCCCCCCCCCTTGTCGCCAGCATGAAAAAATTTCAGGATTTTGCTGTTGCCTGGCGGGCCCCCAAGGTCTTTGAAATTTCAGCCAGGGGTTTTGAAGGGGAGGTAGGTAGGTCGAACAATGGCCTGTCCCGATGGTACCACGTCCCCGGCTCTCGCTCTCACCCTCTCTCTCTCACTCACTCTCTCTCTCTCTCTCTCTCTCACTCTCTCTGTCTCACTCTCTCTCTCTCTCTCTCTCTCTCTCTCTCTCACTCTCACTCTCACTCTCACTCTCACTCTCACTTTCTCGCTCTCGCTCTCACTCTCACTCGTTTTTGCTCTCGCTCTCACTCGCTTTTGCTCTCGCGCTCCCTCTCTTCGCGCCCAGGCCAATGCAGTTGGCGCGCAAAGCCACCTCAGGATTCCACAGCTAACCAGCTAAAAGCTTCCCCAAGGGGTCCGGGGACTACTCAATACATGGGTGGGAGTCTCTCACTCTCTCTCTCTCTCTCTCTCTCTTTTTGAGTCTGTGGTCTGTCACGTTCTCCGCCTAGCAAAAAAAAACGCCCTGGGGACGTAGTACCGGGACGGCCTGCCCAGGCAGCAACTGCCCCAGAACCTCCAACAATCTCTAGAGGTGGTATTTATGCGTACTTATGTGATCTTATGTGCTTCGTGGGTTGTTGTGTGTTTCGGTGTGTCTGTTTTAATGATCTGCAGACATCCTCTGCCTTCCCCTGACGGTTGTGGTCCAGAATTCGATTCTGAAATTATTTTCAGCCGCTTACCCCCCGAATGTTGAAATTTCAGCCTGTTGCACCCACCCCCAGGTTTATCATGCCTCGGCGTCCAGCTAACCGCCTGAAATATTTCAAGGCCTCACCCCCCCCCTAAATTTCAAGGGTTAAGGGGGTGGGGATCCCGCTCGCCCACCCGCCCGCCCACCCACCCACCCACCCATCCATCCACACACGCACACACACACACACACACAGAGACACAGAGACTGAAGCCACAAATCCCGAAACCAAAGAACCTCTGCACCCGCACACCATCCGAGCCTGTTCCTTGTGGCCTCCGGCATCTCGAAAGCCATCCTCTTGTAAACCAGTTCGGGAACTGGTTTTTCAAGTCCGGGGCGTAAGGGACATTACAAAAACACATCAAACGAATTTCCCAGGCTCCTTTGCGGCCAATTCTTGAAGGGCATTCAATATGTAGAGTTTGCAATGTCCATCACTCGAGGGCTTTGCACAGAGAGGTCCGGTCGCCACTCGCGGCAAGCGATGTCCAAACACGATTCAGCAACTACCCTAATGCTCCGCGATCGGTGCTGACAAACGGGCGTGGCTGGAACGCTAGAGCTGCACGAGCTGTTTGAGAAGTGGGATGAGTGGTGTGAATGGCACCCAGTACTCACCCCGCTGACTCCGGCGAAAGCTGTCAACATTCAGGGCAGAGTCTAAGCCCACAAGCCCAACACCACAATAAGAGGTGCGTCCTCGAGTTTCTGTGAATACTGCAGGACCCGGGAGCTGGAGAAGAGTTCGGTGAGCTTGGTAGCCCCGAGCTTGGTGCCTTAGGCATCGAGCACAACGCCAATTCCAGAATCTTGTACAGCGGCAAGAGATTAGCTGAAGTGCGAGCTCCTGATAAGCCTCGTCATCAGAAAATGGGCACCAAGAAGACTCGATCTATTGTTCAGGTGGAGTATTGCAAGGTGGTTCGCACCACTCACCCTTTTTCACTGAATGAAGACTCGTGACAGCTTCAGGCTTGAGCCTCTGGAAAACTGTGCGGCGACGATGGGATGTCTGCGAGGGTCACTGAGAAGCCGAAGCATGGAAGGCGCTAGTCGAAGGCATGGCTATGCCACCGGGCCACGGCTATGCGTGACATTCGGATCCCACACCTTAAACAGCATCCAAGAAACTCGAGCTCCCCGAATCATCCCAGAAGCTGCCGGCAGCCTGGCTGGCAATTTCAAGAAAGCTCTCGCGCGCATTGGCCAGCTGTTGCTCTGGAAAGCCATGGAAAGAAGAGTTTTTGAAAAACAATACATCAGGAGATAGTTGTTCGTGAGGGGCGTGGTTCAAATCCAGGGACGGGAAAAGAGTTTTCAAAAGCCAGAGATAACTCTTGCAGGCACATGCCTGGTTTTCAGAAGCCACTAACTCTAGATGTACTTGTTTGTTTGCTTCAAGTCTTCAACAGATTTAATTGTTTGTTGCAAGCCATTGGTACCTCACTTCGAAAAACAGCGCGCCATCGATATGTCCTTTCGGTTCCAAATCTCGGGTCTTCAAAAACCCTGAATTCAATGGACTCGGGATTCAACTGTTTGCCTGGGGTCCTCTGAGGGGCATGTAGCTCCGACGTACTAGTTTCATCAAGGCTTCGGAGTCTTGTACTGTTGGTTTCAATCTTCTTGGTTTCTAGGGGAATTTAAGGGCGTGATCCGAGACAAACACAGGCACGGCGTACGCCGACCCAGGACCCAATTCCTCTTAGAGGCCCCTGAGCAATCTGTAATCCAGAGCTGACTGCCTAGAGGGGGTTGAACCACACCGACAATTCATTCACTCCAGAGTTGATTCTCCTTCCTAAACCCTGGTAGAAAACAGTGAAGTGCAGAGTTAATTGTCTGGAGAGGGGGTTGAACAACCCCAGAAGCACAAACAAGTAACTGCAGGGTTAACTTGCTTACTCTTGTTTCCAGTGTTGCTCTACTGTGCTACGATTTTCCCAAGGTTCTAGACTTCCAAAGACCCACTTCAAAGACCTGAACACGGCTGGCGCCCCCAAAACCCGTCAAGACCCGGACTCCCGCGAAGGTCGGCGAGGACTCCGCGGCCAGGGGCTGCTTGCGCCAGGCTCGGATCTGCTGCATATGCGCAGACACCCATGGCGGGGAGGAGGTAGCTCTCAATTCTTTTGCAGCTTGGTAGACTCTCGGATAGCCAAGGCTTACCCACAACAATGCCCAAGAAACCTTTCGAAGAGCGTCCACGCCAAATCCCAGGCAGAAGCTGAGTCTTCATGCTGAGATTCTCTGCAGGGGCCTAAATCCACACGCATACTGCGTCTTGTCACCGTGCAAGAACCCTATCTAGCAACTGTGTTATTGGCATTGGTGTCTTCTTCTCCGCAGTGCGAGCCACAGCTGGCAGAGGTCCCAGCACGCAACCGAAATGCTATTTTTGCAAAACCAACCCGTGCAGAATTAAGCTCTGTGATTGCCCAAGGTCTTGAACACCTAAGCCCAGCCCGCGCCATCCCACGCCCATTGTTTCAAGCCATGCTCTGCCGAAGCACGAATCACTGTGCAGAAGCCTGTCCAGCCATTGGCTTACCTTTCCCCCCCAAATTCGGAGCCCCGAACTAGGCCGAGATCTCAGGCAGCGGCTCCCAAGCATCTCCGTCGGCAGTCGACCCGACCGAAGCATGTCCATGCACTTGGCCTCCGCCCTTGCCGAAGCCAGGGCTTGGCAATTGGGGCTTCTCTGGCTTCTCGGGACCGACTGCAGAGGTCTGCACATCTCTGTTTTTCCATCACTTCCCAATCTTTTGGTCGCGCGCATCGGGATCCAGCCAAGTGGCTCCACGCGCAACTGCTCCCTCGTTTTGTGCGCCTCGTGAGCAAGACTTGTTTAGCCCCAAAAAACACTGAGACAAAGGTGACAGCCAGAAGGATGGAGGAAATCAATGGGCCAAAGCTAAACGCTCACTTCTTGAGGATAAAGCATGAGTCTGCCGGTATGCCATCATTCACAATCTGGTGTTAGGGCCAACACGCGCGCTGCTCTCCCATCCCGAGGCATCTTATCAGGCTAGTGATATATGGCGTTTCCCTTGTCGACAATCCTAGAGAGTTTGCGCATTCGCAGCCAAGGGGCCAAAACCTCAGCGTCCTCTTCTGCCTGCTTCATTTCATCCTGCAACTGTCACGACAGGACCATATGGAGACCATGGAGACCATGGAGACCATGGAAACCATAAGGACCAAGACCTGGCCTGACGAAACACTCAGCCCAAGCCTTTGAACCGCTGGGCGCAGCTTCCGGTGGGTTCAATTTCACGCAGCTGAGCAGTCCTGGCATTGATCCAGTTTCTGTTGGCCCTGGTTGACCAAGGTGAAGAGGTGAGCCAGTCCTTGGGGGACTTCTTCAACATATCCGCGAGAAGCTACCAGTGGAACCGGCAACTTTCAGCACGTGTGACACGAGGGCAAGAAAACTGTTCACCGAATTAGAGAGGGCAGGGGGGGGGGGGCCGCCGTGGTCCTATTCCAGCGACATTGAGGGCAGGGAAGGGCTTCGGCAATAGGCTGACCCTCTTCCCCCAACATGTGCCCTCGCAGGCTAGGATGGAGACAATCGCGGGGGGGGGGGGGGGGGGATATGCACGGGTGAGTGATAGCAAGCGAGTGATAAGCGAGTGACAAATTGGTGCGTCAGGCTCTTCCAACAGCTTCCATACTCTGAAATCTGGAACATAGGGCAGAACATAGGCCATAGGCCTCATGGGACCGAAATCCGAGGCAGCACGGAGCAAAGCTGAGCCCAAGGAACCTGAACACACATGACCTAGGGCTAGGGCAGAAGACACACACACACACACTCACTCAATCCAGACGTGGTCCAGATGAGAGCTTCCCCCAGATTTGGCAATGCACAGTGTGTTGGCGGAGCAGAAACCGTGCAGCTTAGTGGCGACCCTTCTCCGAATCGGGAACCAGGTCCTCATGCTGCAAGGAAGACTCTCATGATGGGTTCAGGGTAAGAACAAAATGAGTTGTGACATTTTGGGGGGGATTCGGCAGGGTTCTCCATGGCTCACGGGGCACTTCGTGCTGCAAGACCAAGCAGCATATTCCAGCAGGACCTTCTCAAACTTGTCTTTCAAAAGAGTCAGCTGCTTCTCATGGGCCTCCTCAAGCAAGCTTTGGCTCAGTGAAAGGAGGTGTTGAAGAGGACATTGTGCAAAAGCACCGTAACCTCCCTGAAATCCGACTCGCCTCCATCTCCGCTACGCATCCAATTCCCTTCCACAAGTCCGGACCGTGTCACACCCAAACCACACAATATGTACACGTGCAATGTTCTGGAATGTTCGCTGGCGAGTGAAGGATCGATAGAGCTGAGCCTAAGCGTTCCTTGCCATCACAAAACGCTGTACGTGCAGATTGTTAGCAGGTCTCCTTGTCTTCAAAACGAAGCGCCGGTCGACTGGGTGCCTTGAGCGGGAGACCCTGCCCAGCCCTTGCAACCGACGCAGCCCCCGACCTGGAGAGCGTCACCTCTGCGGAACTTCCGGGCCCCGAACTTCACACCCATCCTTCTGGCAAGACCCGCACAACCCTCCACCTGACTCTTCTTTCACGTGCATACTGCTTGCTGCCTCACGAAAACCCCCTGCCTTGTCACTCTCCTGGCAGAATGCTCGAAGCAGGCTGGGCTGTGCTTTGAAAGCTCCAGAAAAAGCTCCAGAAACGAAGTGTCTGTGTTGGTCAGGCTTTTGGGTTCCATGGAGTCTTATATCTTTTTTCACATGATACCTGTACCGAAAGTCCGTCCTATGATCCCTGCAACATCCTGCAACGGGCTGCAAAACATGCCGACGCGCTGAATCTCCCAAATGTACAGCAAAACACTCTGACCGACGAACGGTCACACACATGCAAACATACAAACAACCTTTGTCTGCCCCGGCAAAAAGGGCCTCCGTGGGCCCTCTCTTCACGCGCTGTGATTCGAGAAGCGCCTTCCGCCGCCGCATGGTCTCCTTTCACCACAAAAACCACTAACAGCTGGGCACACAATTCTGTGTTGAAACATCCAATGAGTGCAGAGAGAGCTTCAGGGTGCAGAGCTTCAAGCCCGCATTCGAAGAAGTCTCATATGGATGACAAGAATTGAGTGGGAAACCGGCCGGATTCTGCAACAGTGAAGAACGTGAATCACTCGGAACACCCAACCATCCGGCTCGCAAGCGATGATCCCCATGCTTTTCGCAGGGCAAGATGGCAGCCGATTGACGGGGAACTGCCAGAGCATGCTAAAGCCAAGTTCAAGTCAAAGCCCCGACGCCTTTCGTCGCTGGGCCCGCTTGCGTGGGCTGTCGTCTTCCTTGCTCTTGGGATCCTCCTGCTGGCACCGATGCGCGGAAAAGTGGTCGGCACTGCAAGCGAGCTGCTTCTGGGAATTCGGGCTGCAGAATGTTGTGGATTGGGGCTTAGGTTCGGTACCACTGGAGAGCCCGTGTGTGGTGTGTCGGCTTTGAGTTGGACAAGTTGTGGGGGAGTTGGATGGACATTGTGAACAATGGAACCTCTACAAGTTCAAGCAACATGGGGTCCTCTTCGATTGGCTCAATTTCGGCACCTCGCGAACCGGAGACATGTGGGTGACACGTCATTCTTACTGCTTCCCCCGCCCACGAAGTAACATTTGGACCATTAACGTCCCCAACATATTGTGCAGTGGTCTCTTTTCAGGGTGCTGCTGCTGTCATCGGGTATGGGTTTGAAGTTGGAAGCGTCGGTTCAGAATGTTTTGACTCTTTTGACATCCAAGTTCGTCCGGGGTGCCCTGGTCCGTGAGCTGAGTCACGCTTTGGATGGTGTCCTCAGCGGGCTGTGTTCAGGACTTCTCCGGGTCAGGCACTCAGCACTCTCTTAGGAAAGTCTGGTTTGGGCCTCCGACTTCGAAGTTCCTGAGCAGCCTCTCATCACCCCAAACACCGTCCATTTACAGCCCTACGCCCCGCACCAGCCAGGTCTCTTCCAGCTCCTTCTCCAGAGCCAAGAGGCGCGGGTAGATCCTCGCCATTTTCGCAGTTATTGGGTTGAGGAGGGGTCCGGGCGCCGCGGCTGTATTAGACCGCAGCTTGCAATCGGCTTAGCACTTCGGCGACACTGCCGGAAATGAGACCAGCAACCACGCATCACAGGCAGCCCACGACTTCGAGCACACCACCTTCTACATGCAATACTCGCACATCATGGTCCGCTATCACTTCCATATCAAGTTCATCCGCATCAACCAGGACTCATCTACGTCTAGCACACGCAGCATCTCTACGTCAAGCTCAACCGACACCTCCACCAGCACACTCCTACATCATGCAATGCCACATCGCCAACGTCCTCCACTTCCGCATACATTGGACATCTAGGAGCATTACTCCACCCACGATGCAATGCGGGAGGTGCCCAGAAAGGACATGCCACCCAGAGCTTCCCTTGTCGTTGTCATTTTGCTTTGGCATGTTGCTTTGTCGTTTTGCTTTGTCATTGCCTTCCTCAAACCTCCGGGAAATGATGGCCATGGAGCTCGGGGGACGCGTGCGCTCAAGAAACGAATGAGCTGTCGTGTGCAAAGCTGCACCCATGCGCAGGCCCCATCTGAGGAAAGAAGCTTGCCTGTAGCTTGTACTCTGCTACTCTGCGTGCAATTTCACAGGGGCCCCCCTCCTTCCCTGCGGGTCTCGGGTGCGGTAGGTGATCTTCAGGGTGGTTCTGTGACCAACTACCGGTCTGTGACGGTGGCAGGGAAACCATCGACGAGATCCACGCCTGATGCATTCTTCTGGTGTCATCCATTTCCTGAATGTTTGTCGAACATGAGGTGGTCGACATTGTCGTTATCTCACTGTCTTTTGCTTTGCTTTGCTTAGGGGCATAGGGACGGACCCTGCGCCAAGGCGCGCCCCGCTCCCGCGTCACGTGAAACTTATCTGTTGTCTTCGGCCGCCCTGTTGGCGGCCGCGCGTGTCTCTCTCTCTCTCTCTCTCTCTTTCTCTCTCCCATTCTTTCTTCCTTTCTTCCTTTCTTCCTTTCTTCCTTTCTTCCTTCTTCTTCCCTTCTTCCCTTCTTCCTTTCTTCCTTTCTTCCTTTCTTCCTTTCTTCCTTTCTTCCTTTCTTCCTTTCTTCCTTTCTTCCTTTCTTCCCTTCTTCCCTTCTTCCTTTCTTCCTTTCTTCCTTTCTTCCTTTCTTCCTTTCTTCCCTTCTTCCTTTCTTACTTTCTTCCTTTCTTCCTTTCTTCCTTTCTTCCTTTCTTCCTTTCTTCCTTTCTTCCTTTCTTCCCTTCTTCCCTTCTTCCTTTCTTCCTTTCTTCCTTTCTTCCTTTCTTCCTTTCTTCCTTTCTTCCCTTCTTCCCTTCTTCCTTTCTTCCTTTCTTCCTTTCTTCCTTTCTTCCGTTCTTCCTTTCTTCCTTTCTTCCTTTCTTCCTTTCTTCCTTTCTTCCTTTCTTCCTTTCTTCCTTTCTTCCTTTCTTCCTTTCTTCCTTTCTTCCTTTCTTCCTTCCTTCCTTTCTTCCTTTCTTCCTTTCTTCTTTTCTTACTTTCTTTCCTTCTTTCTTTCTTTCCTTCTTTCTTTCGTGGGGCATGAGGGCGCGAAGCCCCCGCACAGTCTGCGCGCCCCGCGTCTTGCGGAGCCAAGACGAGGAGACCCAAAGGCCAGGCGATGTCCAGTTAGATGTTCTCCTTGCCCCCCCCCCCCCCCCCACTCCTCACCCTCGGATGCTCCATGTGACACTGTTGTTTTGCACCGGCCTCCTCATATACACAGCATGAACTGACAGCACGCATCACCTCTCTGTCTCTCTCTCTCTCTCTCTCTCGCTCTCCCTTTCTGTCTCGTCTTCTCCGCTCTCCCGCGCAAAGTGCCCGCTTTCAGGACCGATGCAAAACACGAGCAGAAACCATCGCACAACGCAGCCGCTCAACCACTTGCCCCAACATCGCTACCCGCTCTGTTCTATTTCTTCTTCTGCACTCTCCTTAGGATCTTAGGAGCTCCGGCCCCTTGTCATCTCTTTCTTCCTTTTTGCAGTGGACTCTGTCGACTCTACATGCACCTGTCTACCGACATGCACAAGGGCAGTCTCCAGCCTGCCAAGCGCCTGGTACGCGTGAACGTTTTGCAGGGCCAGAAATCCATCGCTAACGGTTTTGCCTTGGTTCCGTCACTGTACTGGCTCATGGGTGCAAGTATATGGTAGATGCCAAGGAATCAGTTAGGGCCAAAAAACGCCAGGTCCTGAAGCCTACGTAAAACCAAGTGGAACACCATGCCCGGCTGTTAGCAGCTGTGGGCGGCTCAGCTGCTATTGTGCATGTTGATGTCGAAGTTCTTTGTTCTCTGTGATGCCAGGTGGTGCAGCGCGTCCTTGGCTTCAGACGTGCCTCAAAACCCTTTGTGAAATGCGTGGACTTTTCTGAAAGGCGAGGTGCCCGAAAAAATCGAATGCGGAACTGCCGCAACTATGCGCCTTATTGCACCTTATTTTGCACCGCACCAGGAGCAACAGGCTCCTGAATCGGTTCCCAAAAGCGGATTCGCCATGTTAAGAATTCCGCGTCTGCCCAAGTCCTCCTATGTCCTCCCTTACTTCATTTCCTAAACGCTTCGGACGAGCAGACTGTGGCATTCTCTGCACTAGGGGCTCGGAAAATGATACCTTTGATACATGCTGCGCTGACCGAACCACGGAGGCACTTGCTGCACGTAGTCGAGCGTCGAAGGTCTTGAGGTCCGCATGCTTCTTGACCTGGCGGATCGCACTACACCAATTCGAGCTTCAGCCTGAGAACCGGACCCCTTGCGGAGGAGTCCGACTTCCCCACGACTTGGAAAGGAGAATTGGGCGGGGAAGAGGCCGCTAAAGTTCGGATGGGGCTTTTGCATTCGCTTGGCGATCCGGTGCTCTTGCCCGAATAGGCTTCAACTTCATCCAAGGCACCAGCGTCGAGGCAATGACCTTCGCGCGCTCGTCAAAGCTGGCCCTCGGAGCGTTCAAGCTGAGAAACCCTGTCTGAGCCCATCCGTCGAGGATGCCGCCGTGCTAGTGGGAAGCTATTAAAAGTATTGGAAGCAGGGTGCGCATCACGGCAAGACAAGGCAGCTGATGATTTAAACTGCAGCTTTCATGGCCGCCATAGCTGCTTAAGAGGGTGCCGAATGTGCCAATACCCTGTGAACTTTCGCACTTTCGGCTTTCGATCTCATCCAGGTTAGTCAAGGGGCCGTGCGTCCTCCTGCTCCTCAAACACTTTCCTGGCTCGTGTCACGGCGCAGGTTACGGGTTGCTGCTTGCGCCGCTTCGAGTTCTTTCCACAAGCATCACAAGCATCCATCTCTGGCTCGTCAAAGAGGTTTTTGTTGCACGAGCCGCAGTGCTGTGCTTTACATTCAGCACCACAGCCATCAAGGTTTCGAGCATACGGCTGGATGGTGAACGCTCTGAATTCTTCCTCTTTCCTCTTGGACAAACAGCATTTTAGATTCGTCACAACTTGGAACGCCCGCACAAATGCCGTGCTCAGGCGACAAGCTCCAGCAACATATTGTCAGATCCCCCTTTATGATTAAGCAGTCGTTTGCGATCGGCTCTACATGCGCTGGAGGGCACACGAGCAAGGCCTCAAAGGGCAGCTGGCACTGTCTCGCATCTCGTGGAAAGGGGCTCACCCAGCATTGAGGTTCTCCTCTACTCTAAAACCTATGCCCGTAAATAGGAGCACAGAAGTTTGCGACCTTTCCAGTAGCAAAATGATGGGCCGAAGGACCAAGCAATGCGCAGCAAGCCCAACAAGCCAACGAGTCACCCCTCAAAAAAGTTTTAACGGTAGCACAGCCTGATCTGGGCAATCATTCACTGAGATCCTGCCCGGGCTGCAGGCCCAGAATCTGGTGTGCGGAAGACGGTATGCAATAAAAAAATCGGCAAACAAAGTTGCGATCGTCTAAAACGTTATGGTATGGCTCCGTTTGAAGCCGAACTCCTGGTGAAAGCCGGTTCAGGTTGCAGTTCCTATCATCCGCCTCAATCCATGTTGAACCATGTTGAACCGGCCCCGCTTCCTGCGCTGTCAAACCAGGACTTCTTGACGTGCAGTGCAACATAGTGCATGGCTGCAGAGGGTTTCCGACCGCGGTCGCCAACCGAGCCATCCCAGCGCTTCAGAAATTGGGGAAGTTGGGGTGTTGTGCCTATGGGGCCTGCAAGGGTTCTTGAGGTTCCCCTCGGCTTCATGAAGCTTGGTGCTCGTTTGGCGGGGACGCATGGTCACCGGCGTCACCGGACTGAAAAGATCAGTGCCGATTGCAAGTCACACAATAAATCGCAACTACCACTGGCCGAATTGCATCTTATACTTAGTGTGTACTTATGATCGACAACGCCACCGCCAAACCCTCGCCGCATTGACTTAAAAAAAGCACCCACCGAAACAGTTGCAGGGGTCTCGATGTCCAGATGTTTTGAGTTTTCACTCAAAGGCGAGATGCCAGCCCCACGGCCCACGCCGCAAGCTGGGTGACTACACGGGCAACTGTTGCCCTGCAAGTTCAGAAAAAAGAGGGACAAAGAAGTTCAGCTCTGGTCATCATCATAGTCAAAATCGCAAGCAGAATTGGCTCCCTAACGATCAGAGCAAACAAAAGTGTCATGAACCAAATTTCACAGCCACACACAGGATGAACACCAGCAGCAGTTGCGAAAAAACCTCACGGCCCATCAACTGTGGAGCCCAACAGGCCACCACAATCCCAAGACACCTCAAACTGTCCAGCATTAGGGTCCCGTTTGGGTGTCCATGTAAGGTGATTCTGCTATCTGGGAGGTACCACCGTATCAAGCAGGACCCTAAGTTCTTGGAAACAATCTAAACGGTCTACAGTGCTTCTGTGCAGCACAGGCCTCAGGGATTCTGCGAACCGGGGTGGCAACTCAAACAAGGTTTTGGGAGTTTACGACAATAAGGGAGCCCTAGTATAGACCCCCCAAATAGTAGGATCCCCTTTGTTATGGACCCCAATAAGGTACCCTTATACGGTAAACCCCCATATACATAGAAACTGTACGATCTCAGCCCAGCAGGGGTGCGGAAATCTCGATGCCTGGCTGAGAGCTGTTGCTGCGCCGACTCGTCACCATCTCCTCGAAGGAGTGCGGAGCCAGCGCCACATCCTCCCAGAGCTGATCTATCCTTGAAACATGGCGTTCATGTAGGCGTCGGTCAGGAGGCAGTGGTCCACTGTGGGTGACATGGGTCCTCCAAGCCGTGGAGTCCATGGAAGAGTAGATGCCAGCATGCTTCTCCATCTCATCCACATCCATGTGGCTGTCCGGGTCTATGTTGGATATCTTCACTTTCTCCGGCCCTTGTACGCGTGCTCCGCGTGGAGCCATCCCAGTCATCCCACTGGTCCGGTCGACGTCTGTTGGCAGCACCTGACAAAGCTTTCGCAGGGCCATCCTGGACCTCGCCCTGGCCGATGGGGAGTGCACGTCTTTGAAAAGCTGATGTGGTGGATTCTGCTTTTTTGCAGCCTCCTGACCCCCATGGGGGCAAGGAATTACGGCTAAGACTGCGAACACAGGGCACCAAACCCAAGCCGAACGGCTCCGGTCGGTGGGCTGAACAGGAACTAGCTGTGCTTCCATGATGCTGGTGCAACAAGCAGGCCCGGCCGTGCAAATGCACCATTTGGCTGAGCAACCACTTGCACAAGACGGTGCAGCACAGGGCGCAGAAGACACAAACACTGCTTTGAAGGCGAACTTGTACTGAGGTTGCGAAGAACATCCCCTCACAGAGCGGCAACGGGAACCACCCAAGCATCCAAGTACCCATCATGAGTCGCTGTGCCTCAGTTCTTCACGATGCTGAAGACGAGCCTTCTTCTCCTCGAAGCATCAGAGGAAAAGGCCTACTGCTGCACCCCACTCCGGCTGGAGGGGCCATGCTACAGAGCTGCTACAACATCCTCCAGTTTGGCGAGTCCATTGTGTTGGGGGTCATGGTCCATCGCCCAGCACTCGCCAGGGTGAGAGCCCCTAGCTTGAGCTACCTGGGCCCTTTGGTGCCTGCAGCCGCAGACCGGCTTTGAGTTTTGACGCTTTTCTTTAGGAGCGATTTCGAGGCTACGCCTTATCCGGCCGCGGGCGACAGCCCCGTTGGATTTCCGAAGTCACACCACGCTGGGCGTACTGATGCGCCGCAAATGCACACAACAGACCCATGGCCCGGGATTCAAGAGCTTCACAGCTTCAAGGATGCTTTCCCAATCTTTCCCAGGCCGTGCTCACTTGGAGCCCTCCCCCACTCCCCAAGACGGCTCTGGCCTCGAAAGTGTAGCGCTTGATGGCCTGAGCTCAGCACCCCTCCGAGGCAAGGGCTTCGACCCCTCAATGTGGCGAAGGGCTGAGCGCAACTTTCGAGGCTTCTCGGAAGATGAAGGGTCTGGATTTGAGGGCTGGCATCTGCATGGCCAGCAAGATTCAAAAACACTCATCTACATCAGATACTCCAAGGATTCATGCCGGGCAGCGCAAGTGAGGCGGCAGCTGGACACCTCAGACGTAGATGTGACCCGACTGTCACGTGGCCCCAGATTGCACCTTCATTGTGGCCTCCCCGTTCATGCCCCCCCCTCAACAGCATCGTACTGGTTCATAGGGCTCGACTCTAACATGAACCGTCTCATACTCAACATCCGTAGACCCCAAGAATGGGAGGGAAGAGCGGAGGCTTTCCCGAACCCTTCCCCGTATCAAGACCTTGTAAGCCGTTACTAGGACTTTATCGTCGTGGGTGGCCAGGCATGGGCCAAGATATGTGCAATTGAGTTAGCCGAAGGTGGCGAAAATTGGGGGAAGAGGGTCGCCAAGTTCAGCACTGCGGGTCGGCGAAAACATGCGCCGGAGGCTGTTCTCCAACCAAGACAAGAGATCTCGGGGCATCTCCCTCATACCCCAGAATCTTGCGAGGTGTCGAGCGGCATACTCCTTCACAAAGCTGCACAGATCCTTGGGACGGCGCAACCCGGGAGCAACGCTTGATGCCTACTGCAAACTACATGTGCTGGGCGTTGCCATAAGCCTGTCGAGCCTGGAGCGGCTTGAGGCTGTGGGCAGCGGGAGTGCTGTCTATGCATGGCGATGTATTCTTGGCAAAGGCTTCCAGCAACCAAGGGGCCGCTATGGCTCCTCCGTACTCCTGGCCGCATGTTCTTAGGCTCGGCTCGAACTACTGGCAGGGCTGTAAGGGCCCAAGGAAACCTCCCTTAAAGCCATGGCGTGTCTCGTGCTCGAGATCCGATATCGAGCCTTT